TTTGGTGAACTGGTAGCCGTTGACGAATCGTTGGATACAGTTAGCAAATCTTTAAAAGATGGAAGCGACGTATTTCTTTTAAGACTGAATCGTGCCGAAGCTTCCGACTTGGCGTCACTAAACTCTTCTTCTGACTTAGAGTCAGCTAAGTCTGATTGGCAAATGAGCGACAAGCTATCAGGTGGAATCCTAACGCGGCAACTCAGTTTAGTAAAGCATTTTGCCAACTGTTCCTTGCAACGGGCTAACGTACTCTGCACTTCCTTGAGATTACTGGTATTGGCCGAACTCTAGCAAATAACTAAGTAGTAGTAAAATATTATTGTAAGCTGAGATAGGCGAATATTTGTACTCGTTTAATTTTTTCTCATTCGTAGGCAACGGTCTATTTTGTAAAATGCGCTTAGTAATCTTATCAAAAGCTTTAAATTGTATATCGAATTCGCTCATAACCGGCTAATCTCAAAGTGTAGGTTCAAAATTTGCAAAAACAAGCTATCGTTCACCATTTTCAAATCCTATACTAATATATATTTTGAAAGCAGTTTTTTTCAGTTCGCAAAGCTCGAGATCGGCCGTACCAATTTTTTTGAAATTTCGGTCATAGGTTCTGGATGGGCTTCTCATTTTGTTAGGCCAAAAAAAGTTTAAATACTTCCTAAAAATGGAACTGTAGGACTTTAAAAATCCTATAGAATCTAACATACATGCCCACATAACAGCGCTGCTCAGAGCTGAGACCGCCCTCTGCTGTTAATTCGCACGAAATACATCGCAAAGCAAGGGTTATGTATACATATACAAGTTAGCATATTTCACAGCTGCAAAGCTAAAACAGCGGTTTGATGATTCCTTAGAATCACTCCCACGCCTGCATAGCTTCTTGGATATTTGTAAACAGACTTCACAGCTGCCAAGCTGATCGACAATTCTTCAGAATCGCTCCCACGCTTGTCTTGCCATTCAGGTACATTCCAAAACGGACACCTGATAGCGTACGTGACTTTGGGCAGTTTTCGGCAGGGCAGCCGGCAATGCATTCATACCAACACACAAACAGAGCTACCGGCGCATCGATACTAAGTCAGCCAGATCGGGCAGCGCATCTACACCAATACACACACATCGACGAATCAGCGACTAGCTACAAAACGCAAGTAGGGAACTAGGGTAGATTGTAAGTGAATAAAGTTTAGTTCTGTATTAACATCAAGAGAAGAAAGTTATAATTTGCAAAGTTACATATGTGCTAATGTTAACGTTAATGTTGATTCTTATGTTAAATAAAAAACAAGTAAGAGCAGCGCTGTCTTCGGCTATGCCGAAGGCTTCATACCTTTCATGAACATCTGCAAATTTTAGTTTGACAGGTTACTGATTTTGAATACATCTGCATACATCGATAGAGGAGTTACATACTTATATAAAAAATCGCATCTAAACAATCAGAGGTATGGAAGATATACTTTATATGGCACCAATCTAAGTGATTTTCACTGCTATGTGATCGGTATGTAAACCGGTAACACAATTTATTGG